TCTATCTATCTATCTATCTATCTATCTATCTATCTATCTATCTCTCTCTCGTTTGTTGCGACATGGACGTGTGTTTGCGGACGTACTATATAAGGGTGGTCGATCGATGCGAGGAATGAATGACTGCATCTGTGAATGACGTTCATACAAGTAAAATATTAGAGAAATAATGAAAACATGCCTTGCATGCATCAGCTCTCACAAAACGTTTGGCCATGCACTCACAATACTTGCCCCGTCTGCCTGCGTGAATGTCCTCTTCCTCGTCATCTGCGGTGTGCAGTACAAATGACAACAATGGATACGAGATTGTGCAAAAAATGATGGACAATGCATCTAGCAACTTCGTCTTTATCGGACAGGGAGATGGCAGCACTAGCGCATATCATTCGCGAATACGGGAATAGGTATCCCGTTGTCAGCACACAAGATGCGCACAATAACGAAGTGTTGCAACTCACTCGCAACGATTTCCTTTTACTCGCCGTCGAACAACAGTGGTTAAACGACAACGTGATCAACTTTTATCTCAACCTCGTAGCATTAGACAACTTCTGTAGAATACAGCACGCAGAATGCGACGCAGATAATGAGATAGTCATTAGAGAAGGAAACGGTCGCATTCCCAGAGTATCACTATTGAGCTCGTTTTTTTTCGTCAAACTTTTCGATAATGACATGAGATATAGAGGTCGAGAGGTAGAATGCTGGTACCAGGATGTAATTATAAGTGACATGGATTTGATTATTGCTCCTTTCCTTATCGCACATCAGGACCACTGGACCTTGGTCGTGACTGACTTGAGGAGGAGGAAATTCGAATTCTACGACCCCCTCGACCCTGATAAGGAGTTCGCGTTAAAAGTAACCGGCGGATTTGCAAAGTTTTTATTCGAAAGATCGAAATCGCAAGGCAAAGAGGTGGACACGAGACCATTCAATCACATATGGAATGTAGAGGGCATTCCAAAGAAACATGACACGAACGAATGTGGGGTCTTTGTACTCACGTACGCGTCACTTTTGGCATGGGGCAAACTTCCACCTTTCTGTTTCACCGCAGATGACGTACCCGCGATACGTCGTCGGATGGCATTGGACACAGTGGCTCGTGAGTAGTGTGTACGTGATATTATGTAGTATGATTGCGAAGGGAGCGGACGTAGTTGGCACGAGGTGACGCTTGACAAAAAACAATGTATATAAGGTGTTAATTATTCCTCGGTGCACTGTGTCACTTGCCTCTTGCATGGTACCTTACACCTTACACCTTACCCCATACACCTTACACCTTACACCTTACCCCTTACACCTTACCCCTTACACCTTACCCCTTATACCTTACCCCTTATACCTTACCCCTTACCCCTCACACCAAAACGCCCATTTGTAATGTTTTTTGCACTTCAATCATCTCAAAAATGACAATTTCAATTTCGTTCAAAAAATATAAAATGTCCGTTTTAACGAAATCGCCGTTTAAGGCAATGATTTTAGGTGAACCCCTCATACAGATTTCGAGGATGGTCGATTCTTTGGAACCCCCTCAAACACTGTACGAAGGAATCGCCCCACTTCTCGACAGATACAACGACAAAAAGCATTACTTCGACATTACAGATCTACCAAGGTCCCTATTGACACCTGCAAAAGAAGTACGACTGTTGCGCTTAGGGGCGGAAGCCAGTTCTTTGGAACCCCCTGGGCGTCTCGAAGCTGACTCAGATGAACTTGGAGTAAAGATCGCAACTAAAACTGTACCATGGTAGGATGTCTGTGACGGAATCACCCCAGAAGGACACTTGGCCATTCGGGAAGAAGACGCCCAGATGATGGCCACGGTGTTCCCCTGGCGATCGGACCATTCCTTCATTTCTGCACCCCCACCCGATGTGGCAAAACCTGCACGCACAAAACAGATAGACTTACGGATATGGGACCAACTTTTTGAGTTACACGTGCCACAGTACGTACCCGATGAGATTCATCGATTGATTGCGGGTATTTTGACGGAATATCGAGGAGCGATTAACATTGGTTTGTCGTTAGTTATTCAGCACGACATACAGATGGGGAATCATTCCCCAATCCACTGCAAGCCGTACCGATACTCCCTGATAGAACGCAGAAAGGCTCTCGAACGAATTCGGGATTTCGAAGCCAGCGGGTGGATTGAACCAGCCACCGGACCATGGTCATTTCCCGTAGTACTAGTACAGAAGAAAAACGGATCAATTCACATATGCATCGATTATCGCAAGCTGAATGAAATCATGATTAAAGATGTATATCCCCTCCCCCGGATTGATGATTTGTTGGATGCGATTGGTTGCGCTAATTATTTCAGCAAGTTTGATATTCAACATGGCTTCCATCACATTCTGGTGAAGGAGGAAGACTGGCCTAAGACGGCCTTTGTACTGTTTGAGGGCACGTGGCAGTGGGCTCGGTGCCCGATGGGGATTTGCAACGCGCCTGCCACGTTTCAACGAGCGATGAACATGACATTCTAGAACTTCGTCAACAAGACGCGGCTAACTTGGGGAATGATCAACTTCTGCGTGATCGTATACATGGACGATATCCTCGTCTACTCGGAGACTTATCACGGGCATGCACAGCACATCGAATGGACATTGGGAGCGCTAGGGACGCTGGGTTCAAGATCTCGCTCGAGAGGAGAGAGTTTTTCCTCTCGAAAATTTCGTTCTTGGGCTACGTCGTGACACGTGGAGGACTGCGACCGGACTCAAGAAAGGTTGCGGCAGTAAGAGAAGCCCCAGTTCCCACGTCGCTGACGCAGGTTCGAGCCTTCTTGGGGTTGGCGTCATACTATCGCCGCTTCATCAAGGGTTTCGCCGCGATTGCATGACCACTAACGAACCTGCTACGGAAGGACCAGCCTCTCAGTTGGGACGCGGAGTGCCAACAGGCTTTCGCGACCCTCAAGGACACTCTGGCGACGGCCCCTGTTTTGATTCGGTCGGACCCCTCTCTTATCACAGACTGGCAACCGGAAGCTATCTCCGCTATTTTAGCGCCTTGTCCCGAGCCGTGGCCTAGTGGGCTGTCGGTTCAGCGTGGATTCATCAGGGAGGCTTAGTATCGACACGCAGGCAACACTATTGGTCCTTAATTGGAAGGGGCTTAGCCCCGTCGATTCGTGAGGCGTTCCGTGATGGACCGCCAGGATGTGGTCGACGATATCGGGCCAGGGTATTGAATCCCATGCCACGATGTTTCGTCGTAGCGCCATCTTTATCACCCTATTCGCGTTTTCTACCACTCCATTGGATTGTGACAAGTGAGGCGCAGTATTCCGAATGGCAACGTCGTGTATGACCAGATTCCTCAGCACCTCTCCTCTGAATTCAGCCCCGTTGTCGGTCAGGATCTCTTCCGTATCCTGGTGCATCCCGAGAAAACGGTTGACGTACCGTGCGATTTCGGCGGCTTGTCGCGTGCGACAAGGGTAGACCTCGATCCATTTCGAAAAGTGGTCGACAAATACCAATAGGACTGAATGCTCACAACTATTAGGACCAGGGGGCACCACTATATCAATAGTATCTATACTTACCCTTTGAAACGGTCGCTCCACTACCGTCTGTACTATCGATCTTGGTGGCTGGATCGACGCTTGGTCAGCGGCGCAAACTTGATAGTTGGCGACGATGAATTTCACATCGTCGCGGATATTGGACCAATACCACTCACTTTTGTCAATTGTCGACTCCGTGATTCGTACGGTAAAGTGGGCCGCTGTCTCTTCATGTGTCGTCTTTACCCAGTCGTACCTCATGAACAGATGCGGTACAACCATCCAAATCCCACTGCCGTCCGTTTTCCGTTTTTCTAATCTACCCTCTATCCATCTGTAATCCCGAGCCCTCTCGTTAGCCCTCCTCCGATCTTCCTTGGTGAAATCCTGGAGGGGGTTGCCAACTAGGGTCGCAATCAAGGCAATATCAGTCCATACTTCGGCCCTTCTAAACCTCCGGGTCTTTTCCAACCATTCTGACGTGGCATCCAAAAAGCGAGGATCTTGTCAGTCCGACACAAGGGGCATAACCACGGTTTACTATCATTCCGATACTGAATGCACGAGTCATGGGCCCGTGCAACACACTGTCGACAATCTATCCATTCCGCATATCCTTCCCCGTTAGGACGTATGGAGACCGAGTACACGCGGGAAATAGCTTCGCAAAAATAACAAAATTTATCAGGCAGGGAGAGAATAGACGAAAAGGAGACGGGAGAGAGAGGGGTAGTGAGGTTACCTCCGTCACCCAGCCGTGCCTTTCTGTCTTCCGATGGATGATGTCGAAGTCGTATTCTTGTAATCGTACCACCCAGCACACAATCATGCCTGTGTAATTAGTGAGCTTCTTCAGGGCCAGCAGAGGTTCATGATCCGTCACGAGGTGGAACTTCTGTCCATAGAGATACGGATGGAAGTGCTGGATTCCCCAGACTACTGCATAGCATTCGCCTTGTAAGCTAGCGTCACAATTCTTCGGGCGATTTCGCGTGATCGAGCTCGGACCGAACGGCGTGAACACCGTGCGGCTTGCGCCTGAGGTCTCTGGCAGCCGATCGGCTCGACCGATCATCCGCCACGTGTCTTACCTTCGCCCCTTTCCTCCTTCCCCATCTTCGCCCCCATCGAGATCCTCCTCCGCGGCGGAGGAAGACGACGATTGCTTATCGCCTGCCTCTCTGTCTCCTTCTCGTTCTCTCTCTACCTCCTCCCCGTCACCATCGCCATGAGCTTTGCAACGGAACAAGTGATCGGTGCGCGGTTACTTACTCCTCGGGGACGAATCAGTGTCATCCGACAGGTGCAGCGGCCTCATCTCTGCTCTGATCTCCTACGGTTCGCAGCCTTCTTCAGCACGGCGGCAATCTACGTGGCGGCGGAGATCCGATTCACGGAAGAAGCAACGGCGAGCGTTCTAGCCGAAATCTCGACCTTTCGACAACTATCCCCTCGCAGGATTAGCCACATCACCGTCGTCATCATCTTTACAGGGGACATCACGGCGATCCTTCCAGCGATCCACTCCGACATCTATCGGACGTTGCGCGTCTGGGCCGGGGAGGTGCGAGCAACTTGGACAGATCTCCTCACTCGACGAGGAGATACTATCATGCCAGCGCATGACACAGACTTCCAGCTCCGCTCGTCCCGAAGGTCACCAGCGATCGTGCTTCTGGAACTTCGTCCTTTCGCGCCGCCCCAATGAGTCGTCGCCGCGTCTCCTATTTCGGCCTTCCCTCCAGCATCCCCACCCTTTGGCAGTCTGCGCGAGCCCCCACTCTCTCCTATCGTATTAAGGAGAACAGCGCGTTGCTATTGAGCGAAGAGAAGTGGGACGCGTGGTGGGAGGATTACATCGAGCTCGCTTTCTGTTTGTTGGAGATAGAGTTCCGCCGGGCCGAAGCGGCACCATTTGGAGAGGGACCAGAGCACCCGGAGGACAGCGTGGAGCTTATGATCATCCAGGCCTGGAGGACGGCGGAGGAAGGCGATCTGCTGGGGTTCGTATTCGGAAAAGTGGAAGAGGGCAATCTCACCCTGATTACGGACGAGTTGCTGATATTTTTGACCCAGCTGGTGGACGATCTGCCCCTGGACATTTTGTCGCGTTGTGACGAGCGGCCCGGCACCCACGTGCTGTCTCGAACGCTCGAGCCACACCTTGTGTGGTCCACGTGCACGGAGATTGACGAAGACAACTGCCTCTACCCCTCCCAAGCGCTTTATTTGGAGATCGACGTCACCGATCTCACGTTCTGGGACCCGATTGCGCGAAGAAACGTGGCGCAAGACGAGGAAGAAGAAGAAGAGGAGCAGGGAGAGGGGCTATCGAGTGAGGAACGGGACGATCCTAACTACGTCCCAGAAAGAGAAACAGGGACAACCAATGGATTGAGCCAGCAGCGTGGAAAGAACGAGGAGGAAGAACGGAGGAAGCGGAAGCGCTAGGAAACCGCGGAGGTAAAGCGACTCGCGACGGACATTCCTCCTATTGATCCATCGATAAGGGATCCGTGGCGTGATCCGGAGCCACCGGAAGAAGAAGACGATGGAACCACCACAGAGGGACCACGCAGAAGAAGAAGAAGATGTGAATCGCTAGCTTCCTCCGGCTCCCCATCCCGATCTTCCGTTCGTCTACATCAAGATCTCGGCGTTCGGGCTTCGTCCCCGGTCGTTCTCTCGCCGACCCCGTGACTACCTCATACTTACTCACCTTCCTAATAGACCCCCGTTCCCCGATGGTTGGTGTCCTTTCCCCCATCACCTTTTCTACCACCTCTACGCTACCCGCCTTCCAGTCTCCGTTTTTCCACATGCCACCACCCGCTTTGTAGTTGATTCGTTTCTCCTTCATGTGCTCCTGTTTAGCGCGGACTGGCGAGAATATAACCACGTGGAAATATACTGTGTTATATCCGGAACTGTTCCCGCCTGAGAAAACTACGAGGATTTTCACGCCGCTCTGCGACGAACCCTTTCTACCATCTACCTTGACTACATCGCCGCTTTCCGCCACCTTCACGAAAATCCCCGCTTCCCCCGCATCCACCGCTCCTTTCACTACGCCACCCTTCCCGATTTCGCCTCCCCCGCCATCAGTCGATTCACGCCCCCTCTCCCCCTGAACCATCCGCCACCTCCCCCCTCGATGATCCGACTGTCGTTCCCTGGCAACATCTAAATGTCTACCTTCCTTTTTACACTGATGCATGGTTAGTGGACACGTGTCATAACGGCGGCACGTGTAATCCCCTCCTTGGAATGTCAAAGGCCCACCCTGAGGAATTAGTAGAAGAGCAGTGTTGCCACATTGGATGACGTCCACACTCAATTGAACGGTAAGTGGCATAGAGAGAGGTGCCCCGCGTGTCGATCGATTAGAGAAATTGACACGTGTCAACAAGCAAGCAGGAGCTTGCTAATATTGGAACCCCCTGGGCGTCACATATGTGACGAACCACTTTCTGTAGCGTGCGAATTTCTGCGCAGCTACGTTGAGGGGTCCTAAGTTGGGAAGGTTGGGCCAATTACGGGAAATCGGGATCGGTGGGAGATTGCATCAGTATCCTTGTTTCTTCGTTTTTTTCATCGTTTCTTTTCGGATGGCTGGGTTCGGCGCGGGGTGTGTCCTAGGACGGCCGGTTGATTGATTGGTTGGCTTGCCACCATGCGCACGACTAACAAATGTTGACGTCGTTTCTTTTGTTTCGGTTTCGATCTTTTGGGCGCGGACATCGCGCGGGAAATGGCTTCGTTCCTTTTGAATTTTCTTTTAATTCTTTTTCGAATTTTGTCGAGCCTTGATGGCTCTCGAAATTTCGGACTTTTCTTTCCGAAGCTTGTGCTTTGTGCTTTTTCGCATTAGACAGGAATTTAGGAATTTTGTAATTAGGATTTCCTTTGCCGCGCGGCGCTTTTTGTTTACGCGCTTCTTCATGCGGCTGCAACGGAACTCTGATTAGTCGGCGCCTTTAATCGTGTGTGTAACTGTAATTTTAGGCGGGCGCCATTATAACTGTATCTTTCTTCTTGCGCTTCGTCTTTTCCGGTCTTCTCTTTTTTCTTTCTACTCTGTTTTGGTAGCCGCGGTCTGCATGATCGGATCGGTGCGTGGAGAGCGGCTACGTCCCCCACACCGCGATCAGGTCATGCAGACGTAGGCAATCCCTCCTTTTTTGTCCCTCCTAAGTCTTTGTAATTCCGTGTTTTTCCCGCATGCATGCACACTATAAATTTCGGCTGCGTGATTAGTTAACTCTCTTAACCAGCTGTTGGAAGCTCGGGGTTGCACAATCAGAGAAGGGTCGGCACACGAGCGAAGTAAGAGGTGAGTAGAGCAGGAGTCGGGCGACCCGACGAGCTGGTGCCAAACGTGCGGGGTTGACGCGGGCCACGACGGACTGTGGGCAGGCGAACCTGACGGGTGCGGGAGGACTAAGTGGGGTGACGGCTTCGTGGGTTGGTGCGCGACGACGGACTGTCCGCATCGGAGAAGAAGAGAGAGGGAGAGAGAGTTGAGGTTGATGAACGTGGATTTGCTGTTTCTTTTATCCTTTCCCCCCCTGCCCCTGTCTCGTGTATATAAATTTTGATTTCGGCTCTGGGCGATCTGCCCGATTTCTGTTTTTCGAAATTTGGACTTGGGTTTTTGGTCACACTTGTCCTTGCGATTTTTTTTTCCACCTCTAAGGCACTGTGTGTATGACTGTTGAATGTAGGGATGTATGGATGCCATGGTTGATTGCTTATCCTTATGCCGGATCCTTGTCTTTGCTTTTGTTTATAGCATTTGATGCACACGTAAGTAGAATAGGAATTTTGCACAATCGTTAATCCTGTCCTTATCTTCGCGTGTCTTTTGATCGGGATGATTGTGGTCGTTGCATCTTGCATGCTCAAAACAGCCCGGAGTAATTAGACGATCGGATGCCGAGTCCGGCGAACGCCGCGTGAGGACACGTGTAAAACGTGATCTGAGTTGCACACTTACATGTATCCCCGTGCGTTGATTCGTCAATCTCAAAGGGACCGTTGATCACAGGCGCACTGTCTGATTGGACGGGGCCATCCTGGGGTCCGCAACAGTGCAGTCGTCCCGCCCGAACACGTGCAAGCCCGACGTAATTTGTGTGGCCTGCACGTGCTCGCACGCGGCGATCGCGATCACCACAAACCCGCCTTTAGGCAACCTATAACACCACAATGACACAATGACGTGATCCTGGGATTCCGACTCATCATACGACCCGGATTACTTTACCCCTTGGATAAACGAAGCCCTTCGACATAGGTACCCGTGTCTAATCGAGAGCCGACTGTGCCCTCGGGAATTTCACTGCGCCACTACCAACGATCCCCGGTGCTCTGATTTCCCCTCCTCGGATCATACCTACTACTTGATCCACCTCGGATTTGTCGTTATCTCCGCTAGCTTCCCCCCCTTCCGACTTCTTCTTCCATATTATCGGCTCAGTGTAATCCTATGGCCGGCCATAGCCCCCTACTAGCCCAACACACCCTGTGGGAATTGCCGACGACTCGGCGATCAGAGAACCCCGGAATTCCGGAGGCCTAACCCGAACGCACGACGACCAACGCCACGTGGCAACTCTTGACGGCCTGACTCATCGGAACCCCATCCACCCCGAAGGGACCCGCCCGCGAACCGCCGTCCCCGAAACCAATGGCTCACTCCGTCTTGAGCGACCCGCGCATACCATCTGCCTTGTAACCCAAAGTGGTCCGCCCTCTCCGCCAAATTGCACTCGTGCCCCCGAAAGACCTTGTCACAGGGGATCTCAGTTCTGATCTGGGACTCCGCTTTCCCAAAAATCCTTGGCACACCCCTTTTCGCACTTCCAGGCCCACATCCTACTCCGATCAGTAAGTCGCGCTGTGTGTGAGGTTGGGCGTCACAGCCCCCTTTAGCCAAGGTCTAACCTATGACACCCCCTGAGCAATGTGGGTATACCCACCTAGCACAGCTGTTGTCGATTATTCTAGTTGTTAATACGACCTAGAGGTTCTAACCCATCATGAGGAGGTGATACGGCCACCATTCGCCTTCCTACCTAAATCGTTCACAAGATCCCACTTCAGTCGCTTTTTTTGTAGTTGTACTGCCATTGTTCTGATGACGACCTAGAGGTTCTAGCCTATTATTAGTAGATGTACGGCGATTGTCCGCTTCTTCACCTTAAAGCACCAGTACTTGGCCCATACATCGGTTGTGGCACTACCCCGTTAACGCGCCGCGCCTTTAGGGTTTTGGGGTACCGGACCACAATGGCTGGAGGCGCCAGCCAAACTAAAAACAAAAAGTCGGACTGGCGGTTCGTCAAAACTCGGCGCGCAGGGTGCTCCGAGGCCCGGCATCCATAGCTGGGCCAGGTACTGGTGGTTTAAACCACCAGTACCTTTCTCATCTATCGATGTCAAGCCGAAAATTGCCCTGCGCTCCAAAAAAAATTGAGCCAGCGGCGGCCTCATTTTGGTTGGTGCTGCCAGTAATTTTGGTCCGGTACGTCGAAAGTTGCCCGTGTCTTGGGGGCGCTAGTCACAACTAGAGGGAAGCCGGCAACCAATGACGAGTGGATGGCAGGACCCACGCGAGTCAAGTTGGAAAATGGAACAACAAACGTACATCAATTTTCGGGCGGGCACTCGTCATTAATAACGTGGTCCTCGCCACACTCTGGTACAAGGCCATCCTATGGCCCATGAGTAATGGGGGGCTCCAAGTACTAAAACGACAGCTAGCGGTGTCGGTGCAAATACCCTGACAAGGGTATCCGCCCTAGTTTTTGCAAGTGACAGAAAGTAAGTTTAAAAATCTAAATGTACCGCGCAAGTCGCGGCTAAGTCTGTTGAGTTACACTACTGGGATGGTGGACTAGAGTACAGCGTGAGTGGGCGCGCGGTCTTAGGGCGCGCGTGTGATTCCTACGCTTGATTAGGCAGCCGGCTTAGTTGGCCGGCCTGAATTTTTGTTATTATAAATAAAAGGTTTGTTCTTATTCGGGACAGTTGACCGTTGGTAATCCGATATACGGAGTGGGGTGCGAGGCGACCATGGCACAAAGGGGGCAAGCCAATGCGGATGCCTAGTAACGGCGTGCTTAGCTAGAAGGAGGGATGAGGGCCGGGGCTGATTCCTAGGCCTGGGGGCTGAACAGCACCCGTTTATATATGGTACCGCCTGTGTTAGTTCCAGGCTTGGGCTTAGCCCTAAAGGTTACGGTACTGGACTTACACGACGGAGATACGGGGATCGAGGCCAGCGGATGGCGGCGCAGGAGTAAGGAGCGTTGAAAGGCTGAGGGGTAACGGGTCCCGCGGGACTATCCTCCTTAGTTTTTTGGGGGGAATCCGAGCGCGGGCCCGTTTTGATTCAAACTTTCTATTTTTATTTTTATACATGTATATATATATTTTCCTCTTCATTTTTTATTTTTTTTGTCAGTATCGGCTTCGAGCCCGGGGCGACGGGCCATGAGTACGACTTGGCGGGTACTCCGCATAGGCTATTGGGATGCAG